TACCAGCCAACCGCTCTCGGGCCAACCGCCCTCTGTCCACCTCGCCCATTCATCTGCGTAACCCTAAACCCCGGACCGGGCTTCAGGTTTATCCTTAAGCCCGACTTCTATCAAAGTCTTAGAAAGTTAAATCTCCCGGTTACAGTCCAGCTGTGTAAACAGTCAAATCCACTGGCGTTGAATTACTAGGGGCTGTGTGTATATATATACAGTGTAGTGTACGTAAGCATCTGAGCATCTGGCAGTACAATAGTCATCACAATGCCAGAGTCACGAATCAGTGTATAGTATTACAATGTTGTAGTATTATACAGCAATACATTACTGTTATTTTACCGAGTTGTCATGATGGTACATCTGTACACATTAAGACAAAAGGATATACAGATACGATACACTCTTACAATATTACCGTGTTACAAAGCGACATTGCATTCATATTAAGAATGTGTCCCATGTGTTGCTTTGGAAAACAAAGTTATGTTTCTTAAGCGTATGGAAATTGTATGCAAAACCTAAGCCTAATTCAATGCATCACGATTACAATAAACCGGCGGATATTAATCATTTGACTGCACGTATTTTTTCAGGTTATTGATGTGCACCGTATCTCTCCCATTGAAATGAGCCGGTTGGCCTGATGTATTTCCTTCCTGCGGCTGCACGGTGTTTATTCCTTAATTAGAGAGATCTCAGATGCATGTGACAGATGAGGTGAAATGATGGTACTTTGCTATCCTGTTGATTGCGGTGTATAGCAACGTACCACGGTGGGATTGAATACAGATCGCTCCTCCGTCATTGTTTAGACGGACCAACATCTGGGGGTGGGGGGGTGGGGGGGGGCGGTATCGTCGCAACTCCTGTTTCGCAGATGCTCTCGTTCTGGCTTTGATTAGAAATGACCGTGGCTCTTCCTCTTGTTACTAAACAGATTAGCACAATGCTACGGCTAATTGCACCACTGAATAATAACACAGATGCTAACAGTGTTTCCTATCGCCGCCACCTGCATGCTCAGTCACTCCAATACAAATAAAAACAGGAAGACGAGAGCGAGAGAGGGAGGGGGGAGAGGAGGTAATAATATAACGTAAGCCTTTAAGGCATTTAGGTAAATGGGCTATAATGTGTGGAGTATTGCGTTGTCTATGCACATAAAATGTATACCCAGGGGCTCCTAGGAAATGATAGGAAGCAAGTCGATTGTCTGCCTGGAAGTTATCAGATGCGGTTATCGGCTATCCCGGCTTTGAAAGTATATGACATCTGTGCCATCCACTCCCTCCCGACTACTTCTATACGGAAGAGCAGCCCTCTATTTATATTCAGATTCGGGATTATTGATGCCAGGGGAAATAAAAACCGTCCTCGCGACTTTGTCAGTGGATTTGATTGTATGCAAAAAGAAATGCCTGAAATATGAGCTCGCTGGGCCAGCTACGCCTGCTGTCAAAGACTCTCTTGTACCCTTTCCATATATTACCCTTTCCATATTTTAACCTTCGGATATTTCATCATTTTTTCCTGCAGGGTGTCCTGGGATAGCACCGGCGGTCTCCACCTGTCCCAGCCCAGCGTGGCTGACCTGGGCCTGTACACCTGCACCGCCTCCAACACCCTGGGCTCTGACTCAGAGTCATCTCGGCTGAGAGTAGCCGGTGAGTACAGACTGGTCATCCCCGTTCCTTTTTGCTATTTGCTATTGCTAAATATCATTAAAGGACAATTCCGGTGCAAAATGAGACCATATGATCACAACACATGTCCACCGAGTTGGACCGTTCTCTGGGATCAGTTTTCATTCTAGTCGAATTTAACCAAAGTTCTCGAAAACTGCTAATTATCTTATAACACTAGCTGGGGCAGATATTCATGTAAAATAAATCACAATTCTATACCACTAACGAGGCTCAAAATCGCACCACGCTTCCACGGTAGCATAATGAGGGTCCCCCGGGCGCCATCTTTGGAACATACGGACATAATGGGGTATCGAACCTGGTATCTTTCAGCTGGGCGTTTTAACACCCTCACTACTACTACTATCCCGACCCCAACGCTTGAAATGGGGTGAAGCTTGTTGCTTGCGGTTCAAGGGAGCCGGGCTGTCAGTCGTCTAAACCTAGTGTGTGTGTGTATATTATACGTTAGTGTCAAGTGTCTTTATTTATGCAGCGCATTTCGGGCACAAAGACGGTAGACTGAGGATTACCTGTCTGGTTGAAGCCCTCAGGATCTCATTGTTTGTGTTTTCTGTTTAAAAAAAACCCAACAGAGATGCCAGCCATCGCAGTGTCCTGGAGAAACTTCTCCGACGCGGGGACGGCGGCGGGACAGAGCCTGAGGGCCGTGGTGGGGGGTCGGGTCAGCGTGCGTCCGGGGGCCAACCTGACCATCGACTGCCCTGTCACCGGTGGGTCACCGCTCTGGGTCAATACTTTGGGTTGGTGGGGGGGCGGGGGTTCTGTGTGTGTAGATAAGAGAAGATAACTAAGAGGTTATTTTTGTAATTAAGGATAAAAAGCTAATTGGGGACATATTGATACTCTTTGGTCCTTTTTGTCTTTGGTCATTACTTGAGGTTTTGGGTGTGTGTGTGTGTGTGTGTGCAGATAAGAGAAGCTCCCTCAGAGGTTGTTTTTTGGGGATTCGAGTTAAAAAGCAGTCTGAAGGTTTCAAAATACACTCGGGGACAGCTTGGTACTTTTAACGCCGTACCTTAAAATGAGTTTGGATTAGCTTTGAAATGATCGGTGAATCAAACAATGAAACAGTTTGGCGCCACGATGCACCTCTCGCAAACCGTGAAGAAAATGAAAAAGGTAATTGATCTCACTTTAAGACGTTTTCAAAAACGGTGGTGAAGTTGAAGAGCACGCCTGAGGAGATCAAGAACAACACTTTTTTCCCCCCTCTCGGTTCCAACACCAAGGGGTGGGAAGAAAAATGCAATTGTCGAGCCGTTATAAAACATATTTCTCCAAAGGCAAAGCGTTCGGTCATGGGGGAGAACAAAGCCGGTGCTCAGGCTGCAGTGCAGTTTGATGTTTGACGGATATTTGAGTTGAGAATCGACGGTGCTGCTGGCGTCCGCCCTTCATCTCAGCAGGAACCGGCCCTGCTTACGTATAACTCTAGGCTTTTAGTGACACGTCAACTCCGGTCCACAGCTGGCCTCCGCACAACACAAGCCAGCCTCTTAGTCTCCTGGCCCGCTGAAACAACTCCAGTGGAACGGTTGCTGTGGAAATCCTGCCTTGGCCCGAGGGTACCGCAGCGCAGCGTCTTAAGAGAGTATTAAAGGTTATTTATTCATTTCCCTATTATTCTTGTGCTGGCTCTCGCTCCACACAGCAAATTAGAGCGAGAGAAAGGTTTTGTAATGTAAGATGCGGTGTGGTTGGTGCCGCCCGGTGACCTGGGCCTGTTGGAGAAGCCAGTGGGCTGTGGTCCCAGGCCGGCCTGTCAGACCCCCTGTTATTGGCTGTAATCATCGACCGTGGCCACCTGCTGGTGTCAACACCACGCACCGCGTCATTCAACACCACAACATTTACCTTGGAGCCGTCCCAAGATCCCTCGCTCCTTCTCACTCCATCACTCTCTGCCTCTGTCTCTCTCTCGCTCTGCCTCTGTCTCACTCTCTGTCTCTCTCTCGCTCTCGCTCTGCCTCTGTCTCACTCTCTGTCTCTGTCTCTCTCTCGCTCTGTCTCTGTCTCTCTCTCTGTCTCTGTCTCTCTCTCGCTCTGTCTCTGTCTCACTCTCTGTCTCTCTCTCTGTCTTTCTCTCTCTCTCTCTCTCGCTCTCTCGCTCTCTCTCCCCCCCCCCCCTCTCTCTCCCCCCTCTCTCTTTCGCTCCCCCCCCCTCTCTCTCTCTCTCTCTCTCTCCCCCCCCCCCCCCCTCTCTCTCTCTCTCTCTCTCCCCCCCCCCCTCTCTCTCTCCCCCCTCTCTCTTTCGATCCCCCCCTCTCTCTCTCTCTCTCTCTCTCTCTCTCCCCCCCCCCCCCCCTCTCTCTCTCTCTCTCTCTCTCTCCCCCCCCCCTCTCTCCCTCTCTCTCTTTCTCCCCCCCCCTCTCTCTCTCTCTCTCTCTCTCTGTATGTGTAGTGCAGTGTAATTTAGATGAAAATGCCAAATTACCCCCGTTTTAGGAACAGCTTCTGGCAAACAGCACATAAAAGCGTGTATTTTTTCATGGGCTCTTGTCATCACCCAGTAATAGGAGGAGATGAGGGAGGTTTCTTGTGTGCGTATGTATGTGTGTGTGTGTGTGTGTGTGTGTGTGTGTGTGTGTGTGTGTGTGTGTGTGTGTGTGTGTGTGTGTGTGTGTGTGTGTGTGTGTCAACATGTCAACATGCAGCAAAGCCCAGTCAAATGAAAGTCAAAATAACAGTCTTTCATATCATGCAAGGAGGAGAAAGGGAGGAGTGGAGAGAGAGAGGATAATGGTGTGAGTTAAAGGAATAATAAATACAATACAACTATGGGTTTATAGATGCTATCTGGCTGACTCTCCTTCTGTCTCTCAGTCTCTTTCCACAAGAACAACAACCACCACATGTGTCCACATATGTGGGGAAGTTTATCTTATCATGATACGCACTTGATATGGAAGAGTTGGTGATATTTAGCTGTAGCCTTTCGACTGACCTTCACTCTATGAAAAGGTTATGTTGTTGTACATCTAACAGAGTCACCTCATTTGATGCTTTTAAAACCATTGAAGCTTTTAAGATGGACATGATAAGACATATAATGATAATGATGCTTACTGGGCTAAAATACATAGTAAACAATGCATTTCTCACATGAGCCACCACGCTGCAAGACACACTGATGATATTGTGGTGTCATATCAATATAGTTATTATTATTTTTTAAATAAATGTAATGGCCAGTTAATAAGGGTACATATCCCTGCTGAAAAAGTACATATAATACTCAGCATGTCTATCCTGGGCAAAATACAACATACGACACACAGAATACAATGATGTAAATGGAGGCGACAAGCCGGGGATCGATCCAGCAACCTTCCGGGTTGCCGGACGACCCGCTCCGCCGCCTGAGCCACTGCCGCCCTATCTATGTGTGTGTGTGTATGTAAAGCTATCTGGCTCCATTTAGTGACAGTACTTAGGGAATGGATCAACGTGTACACACCATTATATCCACCAAAGACTCTGTGACTCCACTCGGTGACACGGCTCTGCCCTCTGAACAACACAGCAACAAGCACAACAATGACCACATTTAGTTTTAAATTAAAACAGTTGGCCCCTGTTGAAATGAAGTCAGGAGGTTAAAAAAAAAAGAGGCTTGGCTTGAATCGCTAACCATTAATAATACATTAAATGGAGGGGGAAAAAATAAACTAAGCTGGTAGCCAAGGTGAAGGAGTAGCAGAAACCGTTGCGGTGCCCTGTGTGTGTGTGTGTGTGTGTGTGTGTGTGTGTGTGTGTGTGTGTGTGTGTGTGTGTGTGTGTGTGTGTGTGTGTATGCGTAACCTACCTGTCAGTCTGTGGCCTGGGGAGAGTGCACGTGGCCGTGGACGCCACGTGCACGTGGTGGGACCATGTGACTTTGATCGAATATGACAGAGGGAAATTATCGAGCCGCCTCGCCGTGTAAATGCTTTCACCGCCCCTCGCTGGGCTTCTCTGGACAACATGGCACGGTCACATGACCAGGCTAAACAATAAACCAGCCCAATATAGCCGCCAGCTTTTTTTTTTGTTTTTTTGTTTTTCCATAAAGGTTTGTTTTTTGTTATTTCCAACGCTACGTGCTGGTGAGTGCAAAGTTGTGTCGGTTGGGATGTGGCCTGCTGGCATCCGCTGCTCCTGACGCATTGGGAGCAGCGGACACGTAACGCAAGTCAAGGTTTCCATGCAGCCAACGACATTTACGAGCCACGAAATCTGTTCCCGCGCCGCGTGGAGCGCGGCAACAAATCGAGTTGTGTATTGATGTTTTTTTTTTTCCCTCACCTTTTCTCCTCACCTTTGCCCCCAACGGTTGTTCTGTGTTTTTTCCTTTCTGTGAAGTTTTCTTTCTGTGTTGTCACCCCATTCTGGAGTCACTCATTTTATCATACTGATCTCATTCCCTCTAGTCCCTGAAGATTCACGATTCAAAGGACTTGTAAAAGAAGATAGAAACATGAGATACAAGATAATAATAATAATAGTAAAAAAAATAATAACTCCCTCTCCCTCTCTCCCTCTCCCTCTCCCTCTCCCTATTGCACCATCTCTCTATTTTTCTCTCTCTCGCCATCTCTTCCTCTTTCGACCTCTCCCTCCCTCCCTGGCTGTGGTTCCTGTTGTTCTCGTTTAGGCGTTCCCCAGCCCGCCGTCTCCTGGCACTTTGAGGACGGGCCGCTGAGCGCCGGGTCCACGCCGCTGCCCTCTGGGGCCCTGTGGCTGAGGAACGTCACGGCGCAGCACCAAGGCGCCTACTACTGCACCGCCAGCAACCCCATAGGGAGGTCCACCGCCGCCACCTTCCTCAGCCTGCAAGGTGCGTTCGGGGGAAGAAACAACAACCTGTAGATACTCGAAAATACACACAAACGTAGACGGCATCATGTTAGAGACGCCCACAAGTTAGGGATTCTGGGTTGAGGATTATGAGCGTGGAGTGTAGGGACGTAACGATTTGTCGATTTGTCAGATTTGATTAATTTTCTGATTTGGCAGAAAATTAATCGAGTCAATCATTTAGGTCATCTATCAAGAACAAATACCAAACATTTGCTGCTTGATGCTTCAGAAATTAAATTGTTTGGTTCTTGGATTCATTATAAAATGAATATTAGTTTTTCTTGGCTGCCTGTCGGATAGAGCAATCAAATGTAAGACATCACTTTGGACTCTGGTAACTTGTGATGAAAAAAAATAAAATAAGTAAGCGAATAGAGAGTTTGATTCGCCATATGCGCTCAGAGCCATCCTTGAGCAAGATGCCCGAACCCTTACCCGGTCCTACCTGAATTCACTGCATGTCCATTTGGATAAAACACATCTGCTAAACGTGTATTGTAAATAGTTAATAGGCTCCCATAACCTGCAAGTGTGTTTTTTGAGGGAAAACCCTAATGGAAATGGTAATGGAAAATAGAGATGACAGAATAGCATCGCTCACCACTTCTCCCTCTCTTCCTCTCTAACCTTAATCCCTCTCTCAACGCCTGTCTTCACTCTTCGAGGCGAGGCTTCGCACGAATGGATTTGGAGGACTGTGGAGGCTGTGACTTGGATCATTCAGGGTTATTATAGCCCCCATATGTGTTACTTATTTTCCTTCTTGTATTGTATATAAAAGTATTGACTCTTTACCTGAGAGATGAAGAACTTGTGTGTCTACAATAACTGTATGAATAATTTAAGCTCTGTTCTGTTTTGAACGGTTAGTGAAGCATTCAAAATAAGCTGCAGGGGTAATTATACATTACTACACAGCTAGATTGAACATTTTGAATGACAATTTAGGAAGAATAACACATATACAAAACATATACAAATGAAATAAATGCAATGCCAGTTAATAAGACCTGCATGTTAGGGTACAGATCCCTCCTGAAAAAGCACATATAATGTTCAGCATGCCTATCCTGGGCAAAATACAACATGCAAAATAAAATGAATAGATTCATTTATATAGCGCTTTTCAGACCAGCGGCCAGACCTCCTTCAGAGATGCAGTACTTCATTATTAATAATTCACACTTCATAACTAATGGATAGCATTTGTTTAATTCTGCCTACTTAGAAGCTATTTTGAGTCTGTACATAGAGCTCATTAAATGTTAGGACTCTATAAGACTATATCATCAAGAGGCTATGATGTTTACATTTTATACAATGCGCACAATAAGATAGTCTAGTGTTTGACTCCCAGCTGAAAGGTCCAAGGTTTGAATCCCAATGTCTAGCCGTAAGGCATCCTTCTACCTGCCTACGACAAGAAAATTCACTGTACGTCGCTTTGGATAAAAAAGTGCCTAAATGCTAAATAACGAATATTAAATGAAACAAAAATTAAACCGTGCTTTTAGAGGCTTCCAGTCAGGTTTCTGTGCCTCTAAATGCTCCCCTAATTACACTGAAAAGAAGAAGGACAGAGAGGCACTGGGAGAGTCTCTTGTCGCAGACAGAAAGAAAGGCAAAACCATGAATGCCTCATCAGCTTGAAAAGGCCCAGCTGATGCTTACAGCATTGCTTTTCAGAGGCAAGTGCTTTCAGAAGACCTTGGCATCACTCCCCGGCCCGTTTTATAACGATATCATTAAAAATCAAGTCAATGCCAGTGACCTCCGTGGCGCTGCGCCTTCGGTCACAGTCTCTCTCTGCGCTCTCCGTGCCAGGATAGCATCACTTACACACCCGGACAATTGCTGCCCTCGGAGACAAGGACTTTGAAATGCGAAATCATCAGCTAAACAGAGTGCGCCTGTTGGGCGGGGGGGTTGTGAAGGTTGCCGTTCACATGCATCAGCGGTCATCACAACCAGTTTAGTTTGGAGGAGGGTTTTTACTTACAGCAAATAATTAAGCCGATCAAGCTTAGCCATTACAGCCGTTAGCTCCTTCTCCCACCGTCCCTGATCAACACCGCAGCCCTGAAATCAGTCCTGAAAGTGCAGTTGACATTGTCAGTGATTGTCAATCACAGTGCCACGGATTGCAGTATCTACAGACCGATGGAGAAGCAGATGAGGCAATCTGCTTCTTGAGTTAACCGGCGCGTGAAAATACAACCGAAACAATGAATTAAGACGGAACCAGGAAGTCATTTAAATTCCAGCCGACCGACCAGTGAGGCTGAGGAGTGCAGCGGAAAACCAATGGAGATAAATGGAGTGGGTGGGGATTGAAGACAAGGAGGTGCTAAAGGAGGAGAAGAATGAAAGCCAGGGCAAAATTAACATTATAACATGTTTCGCAAACAAGATACAAGGGACATAACTGCATTGCATGTTAAGTTTTGTGTCTTTTTTTTTTTTTCATTAATCAGCTAAACAAGCATTTAATCCCATTTGATTTTGTTGTATTGTGTGTGTATTGTGCATGCGGTTAGAGATGAATCTAGTAACTAATTAGATAATGATACATGGAAATGTGAGGGCTTACGGGTCGTTGAATGAGTTTTCCACACATGACCGCATGATCCCAACAGAGGATGTGACCAGTGTCCAGCTGGTTTTCGCGAGGAACGACCAAACCACTTAGCCTCTTTTTTCGCTGGAAGGGATTTTCCCTGGCATGAACTAATTGCTCTCCAGTTGCATGTCTGCGTGCGCTCGCTAATTCGAACAAGGCAAACAAATCGAATTGACATTTGGCGCGCGCAATAACAAACAATCAAGAGTTGTTTGGAAAATCCTAATTGTTCACAGAGCCAATTGTTGTCATGGTGTAGACCTACCACCTGCTGTCGTGATTACACGTCGAAACGCCCGCGTGCGCAAGCCGACTTTGCTGCTCCACAATAACACACACTGTATTGTTCTCTCCACGGTGTACACCCCCATACGCCCCCCCCCCCCCCCCCCCGGTTCCCTGATGTATTTTTGTCAGCTTCAATTAAATGACTAAGGCGTACAGAGGAATCAGCTAGCAACCTAACACTCTGATAGCGAACTATGGAGCACAGGCTAAAGCAGCGGCATCGGTGTGTGTGTGTGTGTGTGTGTGTGTGTGTGTAGGTCGTCAGGTTCCTAACCCCCAGGAGCTGTACAGGAGGAGGGTCCTCATGGCTTCAAGCAGTGGCACCAGCGTGATCATCAAACCAGGAGACGTCCTCCGCATAGGTACACACACACACACACACACACAGATTGACACAGACACATACTAAACACCATGTACACTATGTTAACAGTTTATTATTAGTCCTTTTGTATTAAACGATTATGAGTTAACTAACTAAGTTAGTTAACTCATAATGTATATGACATTTATATGGTCTTGACTGCCATCTATGCTTTGAGCCCCCTAGCATGCTTTTACCCTGTAGATTGGTCGATGTTTTTTTACCTACAAATATAGTTTAGTGCAGTGATTCTCAACTGGTGG